TGGTGCCACTTCTGGACCCCACGCCCAGAGAACCCCCCCTTGAAATGACCTGACTACGGGCCTGTTTAGAAGCAGGTGTAATAATCATAAATCATTGATTAAAAACAAATATAATTTACCGATTGCTAAACATTTCAATCAAAATGATATTAACTGTATGAAATTTATTTTAGTTGGTAGCGGGTTTAAAACCCTCAGTGAAAGGCGTTGTGCTGAGCTGAGATGGATACTTAAACTTAAAACACATATAAGTCAGGTGCTAATAAAGACCTTGGATTCATATCTGACTTCACTTTCGCTAATAAATAAATATATATTTTTGTCCATCCGTCATATTTTCATCCATCTAGTCTATTTATCTCTTCTATTTCACAGTTTTTTTTTGTTTTTTTTATATTCACTTTATTTATTCGTTTTATCTTCCCTTATTCATCATTTGTATTGTTTTATATCATATATTATATATTTCTTCATTCCTTTTTTGATAGTTATGTGTCCACATGACATTTTATTTGACAGTATTATATTATTATCATCATCATATTTTTGTTGTTTATAGGCCTATTTCCTTGTTTACCATTCATTAGATTTGCCACTCTGACCAGTTATTTATACCAATTTGCTTATGTCAGACTTAAGGCCTCCTTATAAACTATTGCTAGTGATAAGACTGTGTAACCTATTGTTTATAGATCTGGTGATTAATCACCCATTGTATAGTCTTATGTATTCTGTTAAGTTTCTCATTGATACTCATGCGCTGACGAACACCGATTGAATATGAATTTATATATATAAAGTCCAATGCATTACAATAGTATGAGTTTATTTATTTAATAATTTTGTAACGCTTGGGAGGGCTGAGGTAAAAAAAACAATTGGTCCTGCAGCGTGGCACACTGCTACGTAACCTCCTTTCAGGTTTAGGGTTCTCTGGAATCCAAGATACAAAACATTCTGATGTCACCAGACTCTTGCCAAATTTCAAAAGTAGATTAGATCGTCGTTCTTGTAATGATGTTAGAGTAAGTGTATCCAAGGCATCCTGGTAACCAATGTAATTGTTATATCCAAGAATGATCTTAAGTGCCCTTTTCTGGATGAATTCCACCTACTCACACTGATTCTTCGTTAAAGCAGAATGCCACAGCGGACTAGCGTACTCCAGTAAGGGCCTGATGTACGTAATATAGGTAAATACAAGGTCATCTCAAGGGGCATCAAGGATCTATGGAAGCAGTGAGAGGATGCTATCATGGAGAATGGTCAGAAGTGTGTTCTCAATACTTTTAAACTTTGTGGCTGCAATAAAGCACCCATAACCTATATCCCAATTTTCATTGTTGTATGTTTATTAATATTGTATCATTACAGCTAATGTTTTTCTTATTAATAAAGTAACCCGTTTGTTGTAAAGAATATAGACATGTAAGATAATAAGATATAACATTTTGAGGATTAAAATCAGGTATATTGATTTTTGCCGGATGTACATGGTATAGACCTACAGTATATAAATATAAAATGTATACGTATATCCCAACTTGAATTCAATGCTTGAAAATAAATATCAAATGGAATTGTGCATCTCTTCTCATCGTATTTAATGTCTGTCTTTACTGTAATAAATTCAATAGCTAAAATATCCTTATTATAAGCTTAAAGCAAAAGTGAAGAATTGCTTCATCAATATGTGCTACTTTAATTATTAAACTAGCAATTCTTTCGAGGACGCCCTCAACAAAAACATAAAACAGGAAATGACGTGGTTGCTAAGCAACAAGCTCATGCATAATCATGAATATTCAGTTACACCTGTTCTAATTAAACTAACAATAAAATCTTTTTGGTCGATTTTCTCAAAACTGAGCTAAAAGTTTTTATTGTTAGTCTAATGAGCACAGGTGTTACTGAATATGCATGACCTGTAGCCTAGCAACCGACGTCATCTCCTATTTTGTAAAATTCGACAGCACCTTACTCTGAAAAGTTCCGAAATTTGTCGGTATCATGTGAATATATTTGGAAAGAATGATTAATAATCATGAAATATATAATATTATTATTAATACAATTACGACAAAGGAAGTACACACAATGATGTTTTATAAACTACACTACAGTTTACTTTTATTTCTTACATACTCGGAAATGTTACATCAGACTATATAAACGTAATATGAATACAATATAAAGATTCTAGTTTTATAATATAATAATGTTTAGGCCTAATTATATTTAAATATGTAATATCGTTCGAGAATTACTTGTTCGTTGTATAAAAACATTATTGGCAAATTTGATTCAATTCTGGCGATCCATTGATATATATCCTAATAAATATCCGCGCACGATTATTTGTAGAATTTAGACCTCATAAATCCGGCTATTGATAGCATTTTGTGTTCCGGCAATTTAATACACGTTGTGTTCCGCTGACAATGATTGTACATCGACTTCCCACTTATTTATGGATCGGCAGACACTGAAAAATAAAGAGATTGAACTAGTGAGAAATACATTCAAACTATTTTCATTTTGGCATCTGTGTTAATTTAGGCCTAATTAAGTATAAATCTCATTAGATTAAAAACATTTTTTGAAAACTTTATGACATTTATACCTTCATGAGGTATAGGAATACAAATTCAGAAAAATAAAATTGATTGTTTGATTGATTTAATACATTATATATAGTGTACATGTTAATAAAGCGTTATTTTCATATGCGTTGGTGAGTACGCTCCCCAACATCCCACCCCAAATCGCCAAGGTCCAAATTCGAAATCTTATGTTCCTATCTGAGCACTGTTATTATGTATATATAATATTCATATAGCATTTCGAGAGACGGTTTAGATTTTCCCTACATCCTAT